GTCCGCGCACTTAATTTTGTTTTTCACACAAAATTTGATACAGATTCTTTGATCCATTTTTTGGAATAGGCAAAAATCGAAGACGAGCCAAAACACGTGCAAGCAAAGCAGCTGTCAAAAATTAACTGAACATTCAAAATGGCCGAACTTGTCGGCATAAGTGAGAGACATGAGTACCAACATAACGCCACAAAAAAATCGAAAATTGAATATACGTAACCCGCGGAAATTCAAAATTCGCGATACTTTTTAAACCTTGTATATGTGTAATTACATCACCTCTTTTTGTTAAAGAGATAAGTCTACTGATACATATTACCAACACTGAAAATCTGTAATAGACGTAAACTATGGATTTTTAATACTGACAGTGTATGTACATCGATACACAGCCGTAATAGTATTTTTTATGTTCAATTTAGATCAGTCATTTTAAATCAGGACGTAACATGTATTGTCAATACATTAATATTGCACATACGTTTAGCTATGTGTGCAACTATTCCATCTCTTTTTGTTACACGTAACACAAAGAGATACAAGTTTCTCATGCTCAGATATTCACGCAGATATTTACACGAAATATTAAAATTTTATAATATGTGTCTGTATGTATTGTGACGTGACAATTTTTGTCCATCACTGTCGAGGATCATCGGCAGAGAAATTTTGCGTCCTCCCGGCTCGGAGGGCGAGCGCGCACGCGAGCGCGCATGCAAACGCACATGCGAACGTGCACTAATTACTCATTTGCTTGTTTTTGTTTTTTTTTCTTTTGATAAGAACTTCATTCTGTATTAGTTAGTCTCACACGTAAACTTAGAATCCTCAGCGGACCTTGCTCGGTGACTTTTTTTTTTGTGATATTGCCATCTCATCATTGGAAGGAGGACGATCACGTCAAAAAGAGCGGAAAAATGAAATTGAATGGGGAAGGCCATCTTATTCAGAAGCCCGAATATGCAGGTCGTAAAATTTCATATTTGTTTTATAATGTGTTGTCGCCCTGAACTTGATTACATCGCACACCCCTTACAGAGTGCGACGAAAAGCGAAAATTTTCGGCCGCCAAAGGAACGGTACCAACTCCAATCGGGGATATAAGTCCCCGATATAGAGCCGGTGGAGAAATGGCCAGAACTTTCCGCATCAGCCCAAAGAAATTAGGGGACTCATGCAACAAAGGAGTCCATAAAAATTTATATTGCGCGCTCTAAGACGCAAGGATTCGCGGCCCGCGAGAACCTGCGACACGCGCTGTCTGTATGATTGAGCCAATCGGCGGGTGACATGGCCCCAATTAGGGGGGGGGGGGAGCAAACGGGCCTGCGTGAATCCGCAAGGAGCTTCCGGCTCCCGGCATTCATTCGTTCTCTAGCTGAGCCAGCTTAACGGATTATTGCCGTAAAGAAGCTGTTGTGGAGAAAAACAGAGGAAGCCTGTATCAAAGGGTGAAACAAGCGTTGTCGCCGCTGTAAAGCTGCCGATCCGGGTTCGTAGCATCGGTGGATCGTGAAAAGCTCATGTGGGTTTAAGCGGCCAATAATGAACGCCGTCTGAATCCGTGAAACTACAAGACACGTCCCATTCGCCCGAGCACTACTGTTAGGAGAATTATTAGTATGTCGAGTCGCGCTTGCCTCTCCTGCCACAGTCGAGCTGCTTTTTGTCTTTTGTTTTGTCTTGTATTGTTTGTACCGTGTCGGACCAATTGTAATTGTATCGCGTTTCGAGTTAACATTCCGCGTCGACATCATTCTCCCGAGTAACGCGTCTTACTCAGTGAACAAGTGTCTTGCACGCTGTCGAGACATCTTATGAATAATCAGTTGACGTCATCAGTCACCTCTTAAAGTGATCGCTGATAGAGAAACATTTCATAGTATAAAGTATACCCGACAAATAAAAGTAAGTCGTCGTTACCACCCGTGAAAGAAGATCATGGCTGTAAAGCGTACATGCGCGCATATGCGCCAATTGAGAGTGTTTTAGTATCCTGTATATGCACATAGTGACCGCATTTGCTTATCTGTGAAGTCCAATAACGTTGTGTTAGTAAGAAAAATGCGCACATGAACTGCTTCAGGTCCGGAGTAGAAGCACTAGTAACTTTAATATCTAACTTTCAGGAATAGGAGAATGATCACGAGTGGTCGGACTGTCCTTTATTCAATTGAAGTTTTTTCGTGAAACGGCCAGAATTGTCCAAAACTTTTAGAAATGCAAATTCGATTTCATGGATTTTTTAATCTAGTTTTTTGAAATAAGTTCAAAACTAACGATTTTAAAAAGAAAATTAATCGCGTTTTAGTGAATAAAGAAGTTTCACACTTCATAGATTTGTATATTATTTGCGCGACGTCTTCTGCGCTTGACTCCTATTGTCCGTATCATTTCCAGTTCCTTAAAAAGATTTGAAACGTTAGTAGAGTTCTTTTATTATTTTTTTCATTTTATATGTGTATATATATATAATGAAAAATGTAAAAAAGCCCATTAGAGTCTACATCAGCTGTTTGGATGTATCAAAAATTTCTTTATTTTCGTGCAAATGTAACAAAACGAATAAAATATACTGTTACGTTCAAGCTCCGGAAATAGATTTAAAGAAAAGAGGGAATAGGCAGGATGGAAGGACGGTCAGATTCTTGTCTCGCAGATATCTGCACAGAGGCAAATACCGTGAGTCAAACGCACCCTTTTTTAGGATTTTAACTCTTCGCGTAAGTAACTACATCTTTTTCGTTCCTTTGATAAATATTACTTGCAATTAATAAATATTTTTTGATGAACCATAAACTCGCTCTAAATATTTTGTTAGTTGAGATACACTGACAAAATCTTGATCTTGAATTGCGGCGGGCTTTGCCCACAATTCTTGATAATTTTTATGAATTGAGATTCAGCTTCCGCAGGCAACATGGATTTTGCTTCCTCACATCCCTCGATAAAGTATGTTAGCGGAATATTTTTACCGTCGAAGAAGGAACGGCTTCGACCGCGTACTTTAATGTAGCGAATGGATTCGCCATTGTTCTATTCTCTTTTGAATTAGGAGTATATTCAATTTCTTTTGTCGGTTGAATTGTTATATCCCCGAAAGCGTTAGAGACGAGTGTATTAGTTAAAGTTTTAAACAAATCTTTTTCGATTTCGGAGTTGTCCAGCGAAAGGTCGATTTGCTTATGTGTAGACTTAGAGGATTGTGGAGTGGATGTGTGTATTGTAAGATTATCGTGTTTAGATTTGCCCTGATTTTCTATAGCGATTTTATAAAGATTATTAACTTCACTTTTATCTTCACTTTTAATAGACCTCGTATTCATACCTGCCCACAAAGATTACACTTATCATCCCGGACAAGCCCCCAATTTCGAGGGGTCTGTTACGTCCAAGCTCCGGAAATAGATAAAGAAAAGAGAGAATAGGAAGGATGGAGTGTGGAAGGATGGTCAGACTCTTGTCTCGCAGGTATTCGCACAGAGGCAAATATCGCGAGCCAAACGTACCCTTTTTATGCTCGCTTCGGAATATGGGTCAACGTCCCGTAAAGACGCTATGATACCTGCTTCCTACGAGCGGTGCGATCGTCAGTCCGAATTTCGAGTCATGGGATACCTTCAACTCGGGAATGGATCA